ATTCTGCTATAATCCTTGCTGTTTCACAATGCTTATATTTGAATAAATACAGAGAAAACATCGGGGGGGGGGGGGGTATTTTTGTTTACTTACTAGTACACATATTTATATTACGTGGTTTACTATTGGCGCAATCAAAGGAGTATTTTACAGACAGTTATTTTCTCTTCCCAAGGTTATTTATCGGTTTTGATAAGAATTCAACACTACATACAGTGTCAACAAATGGAAAAAAAATTCCAGCACTTAGTAAACAACCCGTGAACCATTCGCAGCTTTAGAAACTGGGTTCGGTTCTTCTTTCTCCTGTTGATACACATGTTCTATACAAACATCAACAATAACGTACTTTTGATATCTACTAGTCTTTACTTTTTCTTAATAACACTGCATTTAACCCCAATGAAAAATCTCAGCACTGAAAAAAATTGACTCACTATAAACCTTAAATAATTAAAAGCCAAAAAATGCAAAACAGAACGCTAAACCTCTTTGCCTTTTCTATGGTCAATGAACAATGTGGTTGCAATGAAAAAAAACCTAACCCATAAACAACTATAAAATTGTTTGAGCGTTCTTCTCAGTATAAAGACGCTGCAACCCTATAAGTGTGCTATTTAATAATTTTCATGGTAAACCTCATGATTAAGATCACTGCTTATTCACCTGTGCTATTTCTTGCTTAAAAACAAGGAACAGCATATTCGAATTCTTTCATTGTATAAGAATCAGTACAATAACTTTCTAAGAAAAATATTCTTCAAAGCAATATGTTAGTTTTAAATAGTTTCAATATTCCTGACAACCAAATTCAATTCAAATTATCTTACTTATACTCAATTCCAAAACGTCATTAATAATCTTTCTAGCAAAAGATATACAACAGGGTCTAAAATTTTCCGTCAAGCCTCTATTGAAGGCTAGTAAAGGAGAAATTTCAGAAGTGTTGTGATACGGTATAATAGTATTTCAGAAGTGGTATTCGTCAAATGTGGAGATAAAAGCACTCAAAAGATCTTTTAGCAAATTTGAAACGTTTCTGAAACCAACTAAATCAAAATACAAAGTATATGACTTTTCAACACTTTTTATAACCAATAAGTAAAAAAAGACTATACTGGTATCATAAATGATTAATTCTTCTAAAAGGCACTCTGAAATACACATTCCACCTGTCGACAGGGGATGCTTACTTCTTCATGGCACCTAATCTCATCTATAGTGTTTTCAGAGGTCCGTATTTCCTCTGCTCACCATTTATATTGTTTTATTGGACTTTCGACCTTGATAACTGTTCGTTATCTTCACATTACACATGTCTTGTGATAAGTAATTAAGAACAAAATTTCATTCTGATATCTAGCCCGAGCTTTCTGGAGTAGATATTAAGATCATATGGAATTTTCAATTGACAATATCTATGTGTATTTGGGAAACGAGGCTCCAAGACAATAAATTGAGAACAAGCTTAAGTCAAAATCTAGATTTTTATTGTACAAACAAGTTTTAAAAAAGTTGCAAGATTTTTTTATAATGAACAAAAGGTCTGCCCCAACCGTTCGAGTCCCGTTGAGGCAAACAAAGATGGAATCCGCACCCCTACTAATGTTATTGTGATTTAAATTCAAGACATGTGGTCTTGGTTGACACATTCAAAGGTTATAGGTTAGAACCGGTTTTATAAATAACAGGATTCTCTTTCTTTTTAATACACGTACCATGAAAAAAAGTGTTTCGAGATCTTTCTGATAGAGTATTTCGTAAATTCTATGGTCGTTATAATGACCTTGTTAACAAATACATGTATAACCTATCATTGATTTGGCTGATTTGTTTCATACCAATTGCTTAGCCTTTGTTTTTATACTAAATTTGACAACAGAATGTTCTGTCTACCTGATCAATACATAGGGCTCACCGCGGATATGACTGGTCGACAGGGGAAGCTTACTTCTCCTAGGCACCTGATCCCACCTCTGGAATTTCCGGGGGTCCGTGTTTTATGCTCTATTTACAGATTTGTATAGAGTTATTGAGATCGATCACTGTTCGTTAGCTTTCCCTTTTCATTTTCATGATTTTAAAAAGGAAAGGGGATGTTAAAAATCACATGTTACTTTATCTTCGCTTTTTTGATAAAGAGGATTGGCGAACATGGCGAACAAAATGCCTATTATGCGGCAAATTTGAAAGTGAAGAAAAAAATATAATCTCAATTAAGACAAAATTTTCTTTGATATTTCATTTAACATTAACGTATACTTTATGTAAAATCTCCACAAAATGCAACAATCTCATAAAGATTGAAATTATTCGTCTATGAAATAGCATACATACACCAAAGAGAGCAAAAATTATCAATTCTTCTTACTAAAAACGCATTGTTTTTCCAGATGAGTGGGTTCTCGCTCCATTTATTTGATAGATTATATTTAAAGTTCTTCGTACAAAAGCATGGAGCAAAGACCCACTATACCTTAAAAATTTACTTTTATGACACAGCATTCGTATCTTTCCAAGATTTTTTTTTTAAGTTCATTTACATATAGTCAATATAGTCAAGAGTTATATCACAAACATGATTTAAATGTCGATGTTTGTTATAGTAGTTTGCGTGTTAGTCTCAAAGGAAAAATTGATACTCAGGATTTTTATTGCTTGGGTTCGAACCCCAAGAAGAACACATTTTTCTTAATTGAAATACGAGGGGTTATCAAAAAGTTCGGGGACTAGCGCCATAAAATTAAAACCGTTTTAGGTACATCAATGATTTTTTACACATATAGTTAGCATAATCTTTTCTATCTATAGAATAAACCATAAATGATAAGTTTTATTTTTTAATAAATTGTTAACGTTTTTGTAAGCAATGGTATGTCCAGGCGGCGCAACCTCAAATATGACGTTTTTTCTACCTGAGTGTAACTGAGAAAAACTCTTTTGATATGAGCATTTGTCATCAGAAAATCCCGTTAATTCAGGCATGTGGTACGATACATTTGTTCCGTAAAATTTGCAGTTTTTACCCCATTCTGTAAGTTCTATGAAATTTTATCGCAAATTTTTTTTATATGGAGTGTCCAAACAATTATGAGCTTGAAAATTACGTCAAAAAGGGGGAGGTTTTTTTTCCCAACATTCTATAAAGTTTCTCTCCTGGAAAAACTGGTATAGACCTAAGGAATGTTTAAACGGGCTACAGAAAAATAAAATGCATCCAGAGTACTTGTTTTTAAATGCCCAAAAAGATCCAGAGAGATGAAAGATGCACAGTTAATGTCGATTTGTAGTCAGGGTGTCAAAAGTCAGTCACGTCGATAAGTGACGTTGATCATGTGTGGTAGAAATTGAACTCCAACAAGCTAAGTATTCTGGCATAATCAAGTGAGGAAATTTCCCTATGTATAGATCAAGTTACAATATTATATGCATTGAAAGCAGCTGTTCATGACATTGTAAAGTCATATAAACAAGACGGGCTCAAGTCCTTACTTAACTCCAGGTAATCTCATCAAGATAAGTGTATGGGGTAGAGAGAGTGAACATTGGGAAACAAAAACGTTGTCGGACGCCATGAAGCTAAATTGCGACAGCGCCGGGTGATCATATAATGTCTCTTTCATTTTAGAATAATTTGGCAAATTATCAACGTATCAAGCTGAAATTTTCAACATTTCTTAAACTTTTATTGTTTTATGTTCCTTATAAATTTTGTAAGCACAGACTACATAGTATTAATTTTATCGCATCAGTCCACGAACTTTTTGATAACCCCTCGTATATGGAGATAACGAACAGTATTCAAGCTCAAAAGTCCATTAAACATTACAAAATCGGAGCAGAGCAAACATGGACCTCCGAAACATCAGAGGTGGGATCAGTTAAATCATAGTATGAATTTTCCGCAGAAAAGGTTTGTTTCTCATAATTTCATAACTTTCAATGATAAGAACTTTAATTTAAATACTAAATTCACAAAGTGAATATGACTTTTATACATTTAAGCTATAGGCATTTTGCAAGCCTTGTTCGCCCATCTCTCTAGTATAAAAACAAAGGCCTAACATGTCAGACAAAATACGAGCCAATGATGGGTTATATTCGCTAACAAGGTCATTAAAACAACCATAGAATTTACGAAATGCTGTTGTTGAAATCCCTGTAACATTAACTTATCTGTCAGTAGGCTACCTTGTTTAAGAATTGATCGTACTCAGAGTATGCTCTTGAGTATCGAATAAGCTGGGAGACATAAACACCATATAAGGTGATAGCGAATATTACTTCTATAAATAAATAAATAAGGAAAGTTGACGACGGAAAACCTAAAATCATCTTGTTTGTCATACAGTTTAGTTGTTAGTCAATAGCCCTTATCTTCTATAGTCAGTAAAACATCCAAATATGAAACAGATGTGGCAGACTCTGTGGTGTCTTTTATCTCGAGTTCACTGGGATATATAAAGTCGACATATGAATGGAGGTAACTAACTGTTAATTGATAAAACGTCGTCGATATATCTGAATGTTGAGTTGAAGGACACAGCAAGTGTTTCCTTTTTCTCTTGTAAAGATTTTTGAACAGATTTTGCTTCACAGGAATATATCAACTAACTGAAAGAGAAGAAATAAATGCAATTCCAAAAATACTTGGTTTTATTTGCTAGATCAAATCACAAAAGGTCCATATCTAAGAATTTACTCGTCATACTTTGTACATATTTTACAGTCAATGAGAGTATAGTTTATTATAGTTTGAATTTCCTAAGAGAACAGTGTTTCCAGTGTAAGTTACCATAGGGCATTGATTTCTTCTAAACCGGAAAAATATTCATGGACGATCATTGGCTTTATTTCAAGGGAATTAAAAAAAAACTGCACGTCATAAAATATAAATGTAAGCTTATTTTACCTATATGTACAGCAATTGGCATGAAATATTTACATGCAAATCATTAATAGTATTCCAAAATTCTTCATTTGTAGATCAAAGTTACATTCTACAAGAAATTAATCGTGTATTTCTATGGAGTAAAACATGAATCAAAATCATTACATTTTGAGTGCTTCTTTATTCTTACTGCTTAACAACGTGGTTCAAGGATATTGGAAAAGTCCAGATGCTGGTCCAACATGCAAGGTAAACACTTGCAGAGAATCTGATGATGTTTGTGAGTGTTCCCTAACAGTGGAACACAGACTGACTATGATGACACTAAAAGATCCCATAATGGTCGTACCATCTAATGGCAAGCTTCGGCGATATAATGATAGTACTCCTCTCTCTGATTCAATGGCTGATGACGTTATTACAACGGATGGCTATCGGTCCCGCCTTGTCATTGCTATTAACGATAAGTTCCCCGGACCAACCATTGAAGCCTTTGAAGGCCAAAAACTGATCATCCATGTAAGAAATCTGATGCATACTGACTCAACAACTGTGCATTGGCACGGAATGCATCAACGTGGAACTCCACATGCAGATGGTGTTGCCTTCATAAGTCAATGTCCAATTTTGCCAGGACATACATTTACCCATACATTTACAGCAAGCCCACATGGAAGCAGTTTCTACCATGCACACATTGGGGACCAGCGTAGCATGGGATTATATGGAGGATTGATAATTTATCCCAGACACAAATTTTATCCTCAACCACAAATTGGATTCACTGTTCTCCTACAGGACTGGAACCACAATGACGAACCGGAAACATTATATCAGCGCATGCTTAATGGTGTATACAATTTTAATGATATGTCACCAACATTAGTAAATACCACTCAGTCTGTGGACGGTGCTAATTTCAGTCGTTATCATTTCCATTCTGGACTCATAAATGGAAAAGGGAGGTTCTGGTCACGACCACCGAATAGCTACCTGCAACAAAATGGTGCCCCGCTTGAAGTCTTTAAGGTAAAACCACAGCAAACGTACAGATTTCGAGTGATAAGTGCTGCTACCCTTTATCCTTTCCGTGTGTTTGTACAAGATCATCCAGAACTTACAGTCGTAGCATCTGATGGTTTTGAGATTGTCAGAGGAACTGGGAAGGATAGTCAAGCAATCGTTGTTGAATCGTTCATAATCCATCCTGGAGAAAGATACGATTTTTTCCTGTACACAGGAAAGACAGTAAAATCATACTTGTTGGTTGCAGAGAGCATTGAAGTGATACCTAGCAACGTTTATGAATATCATGCTGCAGAGGCGATAATTCAATATGAAGGCTCCTCGACTTCCTATATTACTTCAAGAGCAAGTAACCAAAATCATTGTACAAGTATGAAACCATGCATAACATTCAATTGTCCTTACAAATACTACCCATCTAGTCAAAACAGACAATGCCTCAGTTATGATGAAGCAAACAGTAATGAACTAAACTCAACTAGTGAAGAAGTAGCTATTGTTTCGAAGACACTGTTTTTTAACTTTGCTTTTCCTGGTGAGCCGGGAAATACCCCAGGTTCAGTCAATGGACATGCGTTTGTATCACCACTGGCACCCATACTTACAGAGACAAGTAGTCAACTGCGAACTATCTGTGATACCTCGTTATGCAGATTTGATTCCATTTGTGCTTGCACATATTCCGTCGATCTTGAATTTGGAAAGGTGTATCAATTTGTTCTTACAAACATTGGCAGTGGACGCGGCTGGTCTCATCCTGTTCATCTACATGGTCATTATTTCTTCGTCTATAAAATGGGATTTGGTGAATACAATCAAAATACAGCCAAGTTTGTATCTGAAACAGAGGACATCGAATGCCAGAGAACTAATACAACTAATTATTGCAATTCTGCTAAATGGAGAAATGAAACATGGAATAGTTACATCCCTGGCTCTAAAACCAGCTACCCTCCAGAGAAGGACACAATAATAATTCCAACTGGTGGGTATGTGGTTATTCGATTTAAAGCAAATAACCCTGGCGCCTGGTTCTTTCATTGTCACATTGATCTTCATAATACGAATGGCATGGGGATGGTTCTACTGGAGTCACCTTCCAAGTATCCTCGAGCACCTGCTGGGTTCCCAAAATGTGGGTACTTAAATCAAAATGAGAACACATCCATTGGATCACGCTATTTGATAGGTAAATATAATTTTTTTTAATTATAAGACAATATGTTCGAAACAGTATGAACAAGATGCCTAGGGGCCACATTGCTCACCTGAGCCTTTGGCTAGGGAAAAGCAGAAATCGGTTCAATATTGAAAAGTTTAAATATAACAGTGGTTCCGAAGGGGCGGGGGGGGGGGGTATGATTTGAACAAACTTGAATCTACACTTCCTAAGGATGCTTTTTAATTAATATGACACATAATGGCTTTGCTGTTCTTAAGAACTAATATTTTATTGATATATCCTTTATAATCCTTTGCATAACTATGATCCCCTGTTATGGCCCCTCTATTCTCCGGGGGGTCATGATTTGAACAAATTTGAATCTACATTACCTGATTATGCTTTTATATTATTGTAACTAATCATGGCTTTGCTGTTTTTGACAAGAAGATTTTTAAAGATATTCCCTATGTATTCCTGTGTAAAACTTTGATCGCCTTCTGTGGCCCCACCCTACCCCGGGAGTCATGATTTGAACAAATTTAAATCTACACTACTTGAGGATGCTTCTATATAATTATGATCAATCATGGTTTTGCTGTTTTTGAGAAGAAGACTTTTAAAGATTTTTTCCAATGTATTCCTATGTAAAACTTTGATCGCCCATTGTAGCCCAACGCTACACCCGGGGGTCATGAATTGAACAAACTTGAATATACATTTCCTCACAATGATTCCACGTTAGTATCATATTTTTAAGCACAGTGGTTCTTGAGACGATTTTTGAATGATGCAATTAATTTTTCACGAATTCATAATTATCTCCCATTTGAAGAAGGAGTGGCCCTTCATTTGAACGAATTAAAATCCCTTTTACCCAAGAATACTATGTTGCAAGACTGGATGAAATTCGCCCAGTGGTTCTTGAGAAGGAGATGAAAATGTGAAAAATTTGCGACGACAACAACGACAGACAACGGACAAATTTTGATCAGAAAAATTCACTTGAGCCTTCGGTTTAGGTGAGCTAAAAATATTGAGAGTTAGCCACGGAGTGTGATAGTAGTTGATGCAAGTAGTCAGATATATTCTTTTAATTCTGTTTTTTTCTTCGCAGATCCATTATTATTTATTCTAGTACAAATATACGTACAATATTCAGGGGAGGGGGGATTATATGTGGTACGACATAGAAGTAAAGATTCGCTGTTTCTTTTCCAGATGTAGTGTTTCTGCTGTTTGTTATGGTTGGTGGTTTTAGGTGCAAGATCCAGACCAGCGGATGAAAAATTATACAAGTGCCTGGTTTTACACCCATTTTTAAAACTGTGTATTAGATAATGTACTTGTTTTTCATTATTGAATATTTCGGGATAGATTTTCACTTAAAAGTGTGTCTACTGTAGAACTACTGTAGAAATTGGACTTGGAACATTTTCACTCAAATATTTGTTTGCTGTATAATTATGGTTGTCACTGTTGAATATTTTGTAGAGATTGAATTTGAACATTTTAACTCAAATATTTGTCTGCTGTGTAATTATAATTTTTCATTGTTGAATATTTTGTAGGATTGGACTTGAAAATTTTCACTCAAAAAATTAAGATATCGTTAAGATGCAGCAATATTCTGATAAGAGAGATAACTCTTAATGCCATAAATGTCTATTATTCCTTTATAAATTCGTCAGGTTTGAAATGTCTTTTCTCTCCAATTTTGCCACGCAAGCTATGTTACAATTGTTTGTATTTTACTTATAAAATACATTTCTTTTGGAAAATCATAAGAGTTCAAGCAACATTTTATGTGAGTGAGCAGAGGGTTTATGAACCTTAAAAGGGGGTTTCTAAACTTAGTACATCTTTCAAGCAAAGGCAAAATCATGTTTACCATAAATGTTATTTAAAGGGAAGGCGGAGATTACCTGAGTAACTTCTTGTTAAACATTTGCAGGCCCGTAGGAATTAATTTTTAAGTTTGGCGGGTACATTCAAATATTTCAGTTGGTGTATGGGGCGCTTTCAGGCAAAAATCCCTTGACAAGAAAAATAATGAAATAAATAAAGGGTCATCAGACGTTATTACTGAGGAGGTATAAGCATAAAGTAGCTATGTTTTCTGTAGTATACTACATGTATAAATAATCTGTTAAAACGCCACATTGCACTCAATGTATTTATTACAGAATACGAATATAAGAATCCTCCTGCAAATAAAAATATTCTTAGCGTGATATTCTCTTCAATTCGACTCCCGCAGTTGGACTTAGTTGTATTCACAGTATTTATTTGAAATTCTTGATTCTTCTCACCGACATGAGTGTTTCATGAAACACAAAGTGGACCAATGTCTTTTTGATGAAAAGGTTATGCACTTATTGTGATAATGCGTCTTTATTTTGTTTACTTGATATATGACTGAAGAAAGGACGTCGACAATACGCCAGAACCCACCAAAATGGTACCAATTTATAACTATTTCCTGACTCTGAGGAGAGAATATCCCTCCCAGACTCAACTTCCTACCCCTTTTTTAGAAACCTGTCGACTGCCCTGAAACAGATGTCCACGAGTAAAGGAGAATTAATAACATATCATGAATTTTCAATTTTAAATCCACCGTACTCCCATCCTGGAGTCTGAAACCAACGACCATGAATTTCACAAATTTGGTAGAGGCCTCATTGTTTATCATAATCATGCCTATAGTTTGCTGATGAACGCCCAGGACTAAGAAAAGATTATGGAAGATTTCATTGATTTTTATGGTTTTGGTCCCATCCCTGAAGGAGACAGAGACCATGAATTTTATAAACGTATGTCCCTCTTTACTCATAAATGCTATGTACCAAATTAGTTGAAATTGTCAACTGTGATTTAGGTGACCTGTAAATGATTCTTAATATGTCGGTCTGCAGGGGGGAGCAAAACTTTGCTCAAATAATTTTGTTTAAAACCTCATCGAAGGAACCAAACTTTTTCTTGGGAATGCCTGTGTTAAGGGATACCCAAACAAACCACAGAAATGAGTCCTATTCTGACCAAAAACAGAGAAAGAGAAAGAGAGAGAGAGAGAGATAAAATTCATCAAAGTTAACATTCAATAAGATGAACGGTTTACCTTGGAGACCTTGGCCATTACAAATTATAGATTAACCTGAAATTTTAAGTAATCTCCAATGAGTTCTTGGTGTATTGTTCCAGCAGAGTGATCCTTAAGCATTAATCACTATTTATAATAACCGCACTTTCTAAAGAAGGTTCGGGTGCATTGTTGTTATCCTGGTCCGCACGTCTGTCACACTATCTTTTTCCTCGTACTACCCTTACATTAGCGATATAATCTTTTGGAATACGATTGGCGGTGCTTTGAACTTGTGAAAAAGATTTTGAAATTTTTAATTTCAACTTGTGGGTCAAATGTGGTGAAAAAATTGCGTTTTTCTACAAAAACCCGGTTCCCTAAAATATTATCACATTTTGTGCATTAGCCCATTTATATTTTGGAATATGATTGGGAGTGTCTTGTAGATTTGCAATAAGGTTTCGGAATTTTGATGTTCACCCTGATGGAGGCAATTGGGGTGGACGATTTTTTCTACATAAATCTGGTTCCCTGGACACCTCTTACAGTTTTTGCAGAAGCCAGTCATCTTTTGGAATATGATTGGGAGTGCACTGCAGGTGTGCAATAAGGTTTCATTTTGATTTTCACCTTGGGGACCAAAGGGGTAAAAAATCATAATTTTTTCTATAAAAACCTGGTTTCCTGAACTCCTATTAAATTTTTCATAGCAACCCATTCATATTTTGAAATATGTTTTGGAGTGTCCTGTAGATGTGCAATACGTTTACGGAATTTCGATTTTCCCCCTGAGGGACGATTGGGGGCCAAAAATAAATTCTACAAAACCTGGTTCCCTGAACTCCTCTAACATTTTTTGCAGTAATCTTTCAGAATATGACTGTGTCCTGTAGATGTGATGTACAATAAGGTTTCGGAATTTTGATTTTCACTGTGGGGCCCGTATGGGGGCCCAAAAAACGCCGTTATTTCTACAAAAACCTGGTTCTCTTAGATTTATTGCAGTAGCCCATTTCTATTTTGGAGTATAATTGAGAGTGTCCATTAGATGTGCAGTAAGGTTTCAGAATTTCAAATTTCATCCAGCGGAAGATTGAGGTCAAAAATCGACATTTTTCTATAAAAACCTAGTTCCCTGAACTCCACTTACATTTTTCACAGTAATTCATCTATTTTTTGGAATATAATTAAGGAGTGCCCTATAGATGTGCAGTAAGGTTTTGGAATTTCGATTTTCAACCTGAATATCGGAAAGGGGGTCAAGAAAGACGTTTTTCTACAAACACCCAGTTCCCTGAACTCCTCTTACATTTTTTGCAGTGGCCAAATCATTTTTTTTTTTTGGAATTTGCTTGACGGCGTCCTGTAGATGTGCAATAAGTTTCAGAATTTAGATTGTCACCGTGGGGGCCAAATGGGGGTAAAAATGATATTCTTTTTGTTTTCTTTATTACAAAAACCTGGTTCCTTGAACTCCTCTTACATTTTTCGCAGTAACCCATTCATAATTTGGAATAAGTATTGATGACAAGTGCGAAGTGGGGTTAAAATTCAATTTTGGGGGGTGAGGGGGCTTGGTTTGAAATTTATTACCAGAGCTTGATAATGAATTTATTATATAAATTCCTCACATCAGAGTCCCATGGACCAGAGGCTCATCTGAGCATTTCATGTGCGTTAAGATACATATATATTTGTGTAAATAATTATTGTAGCTTCTTCCCTTGTTATCAAAATATGAAGGAGTATATTTAGAGGCAAGGACCAATGTCCCGGTACTCTATCTAATGATAGCAGTTAGATTTTACGATTAAAATCCATATTTTATCCAATATCTTTCAGAACAAAACATATTAAATTCATCAGTACAATGTATCCAGCAACTTGTATTCTGATTGACAAGGCACTGTTTGTTTGTAATAATACTTTACAAGTGAATAACAAAAAGCCATGAAAATATCCAGTTACATATTTCTATGACACATGTAAGTACCATATAAATTCCACTTATTTCTATAATAAAAAGAAAGTAACTTTATTTTAATATAACAACATACAATAAAGCACAAATGTGATATGTTCACTTTAGAAATTTGATCAATACAATAACATAACTTCTCAAGATTGTGAACAAAGATCAAAATGCAAAATGTGAGGACAAGAAATATATTAGTAAATGTATGAACCTTAAGGTATGTCACTCGTGAATTAGTTATATCAAGGATTTTTTGAGAAGTATATTTTAGATAAGTACTCATAGCATGACTCAAAATCGCAAATAAAATGGGGGGAGGGGGTTTCAGTATGCATCTTACCGAGCCAGAGTACAAGTAAGTTTACCTTTTTTGCACTTAAATTGTAAGTCATTGGTTAATCACTTTAATCTTTATCATATTTTATCAGATGTAATAAATATAATCTTATTTCACTGTAAAATAGTTTGAATGATATTTATCATTGAACAAATCATGCAAATTATTGTGTGACCTTTTTGCACTAAAAAGTATCATATTTGGAGTATAAAATATCCAAATAGGCAATAAAACATTTTCTTGTATCAAACTTTTTATGACTTAAGTGTTGATCGGTTGGAAGTATCATGTTGTTTAAAACAATGAAAGAAAAAGTTGGAGTCAGTGATGTAAATTTTGAGATATTCGTCAAAATGTGTGATTTTCAGGCAAAAAACGGTGTAAATTTTATCGTGATTTCTTTAATATATCTGCATTTCTTGGCAACGTCTGTTGAGTGAATGTGTAAAATTCATTCTAAAAATAAAATTGAGACCTATATTTCATATTCATCGCACATCATAACGGAAAATATTCTCTGAGTAAAAATCTGTGGGGCTAAAGTACCAAGATACAAAATTTAACAAATGTGGAGATTCGAAGAATTTCTTCTAAATATCCTTCCACCACAAGAAATAGTCCCTGATAAATCTTGCTTCTTTATGAGTTTGTGAGCAGTTTTTTTTTAATATTAATTGAATGTTGAATAATTTGCATCGTTTAATTTAATTATGTTATAAAAATTGCATTGTTTAATTTAAATGTTATAAAAATTGAATTGTAATAAATAATTTTGAAGTTAAAGGTTCTGACTGAACTTTTCTAAAAAGCTGACGAGTGACATACCTTAAAAATTGAGAACACTTACTTAAATATCTCTTTTAGATATTCTGTCGTCCGCATGGCGCAATGGTTAGTAAGAGTGTTTGCTCTAGAGTTGAAGAGTAAAGAGCTGATCCCTACGTGGTAGGTTCGAATCCACTGTGTGACGCGGAGACCAGTTATTTGGATGAGACCGTATAAACAGTGGTGCAGTGTCTCAGTAGGTGCTGGCACAAAAAAATTCCCTCACTGCTCAAAAGCCGTAAGTGCCGAAAACATGTCTAAATTTGCACCCCTCCACAGGCAAGTAGTGGCGTCTCAATATGAGTAAATATTTCAACAGGGTTGATGAACAATCTGGAATCTGGGGATGCTTCTGTATTCATATTTAATATGACTAATAATGGCTTTGCTGTTCTTGAGATGATTTTTAAAGATATTTCCTTTATATTCCTATGAAAAACATTAATCTCCCGTTGTGGTCCCGCCCTACCCCCAGAGTCATTATTTGAACAAATTTGAATTAACAGTATGTAATGAAACTTTCACATA